AGACTGGTTAGGTTGTCCGGCGCAAATTCTGGTTGTCTCGGACAACCGGACAACGCTTATTTCGAGCACTGCTCGCCAACATGGGCGAGTCAGCTTTAGCTTTCACTCGCCCGATATTATTTTCACTCGACATTGGCGAGCGGGCGAGTGCCAAGCTCGCACGCTGCTATCCCCACATCTCAGAAAATTGGACCTCCAGGGGGTCTCAAACCATGATTGCGTCAAAGTGGCCGTGCAGTGATTTTGGAACGTTTCAATAATAAATGACAGTAATTAAATATGAATTTTATGAAACGTATTTACTACGCAGTGGATATATACCGTATACGGCAGAGTATCCACTTCCACTTTTTACCGTACAGTGCTTCTGATTGGGTATGTTAGTAATAGTATATTAGGAATGTGTTCAAACGGTTTCGTATTGGAAACATCATTCACGGAATATAGCTTCTATGATTAAACGGGGCTACAAATGTGTAGAAATAAATGGGATTTTAACCTAAAATATTTCTAGATAGCTAAACCTTATGGGATTCGAACGTAATGTTGATGACATCATAAATATACTAGCCAATTAAATGTTGTGTACGGTAAAATAGCGGAAGTGGATACTCTGCTGTATACGGTTAAATATCCACTGCCTATTTAATACCAAAGTTCTCTACTCTCTTTCGATTATTATTACTTTATTAGTAATTTAATGTCGTGTAATTGCTATTCAAATGCATCTCTGCAACACACATTTTCACCATACGCACGGCACTGTGCACAAACAACAGAAATATGGAGTTCTGTAGACTATATTCTGGTGTTTGTGCACAGCGATGTGCATGCGGTGAGATTGCGTGTTGCGAAAGAGCATTTGAACGTCATTTACGTGGAATTATTAGTCGATAGATAGTAAATATAAACATTGAGACTTTGGTAGAAAATACATTTCGTGTTTATTTACCATCATTTTTGTCATTGAAACATTCCAAGTGCCTGTGCTTCGGAAGCATGGTTTTTTTAGTAACGTGCAGTTAAATTACACAACCCAGGGCTTGACACTAGCGCTTGCCCGATGGCCCGGGGCCAGTAAAATTGAACGTCGGGCCAGCAGAATTCCAGAAATGCTAAATTTTAGTGGCCCGATCGGGCCACTAAACTTTCTAAGTGACTATGTGAGGAAAAGTACAATTTTCTTATGAGAAAATCTTGTGCGTGCGTACGTACGGTATGTGTGCATGTATTTGTGTAGCTACAGCGTGTGTGTACGTGACTACGTGTACGTGTGCATGAGCCGCGATCGCTAGAACAATATACGAACAATAGTTACAATACAATGCGCGTGACCGCTGCAATATGGTGTGATGCGATGTATGCATACTATACGGTAGTTTGGGTCTCGTATGCGAGAGAACTTTACGCGTAAAAATACAATTCGAGTCTTCTGCATATAAAGCGAATGCGTGTCGTTTCTGTTCTAGTTTTCTGTTTGTGTTCGTGGAACGGTTAGCATTCGTCATTGGTCCAGTGCATTGTAGCGCGTGGTGGAATGAATCGATATCATAACACACGCAGCTCTGCGTACGTACACATCAGTGTTCAAAATATAGTTAATGACCCTGTGACCTTGGGTGGAAGTGGCTCAGAATCAATAGCCTCGTTCACACGAGACCTCGTATTTCTGAAATACCAGATTTGCGAAATACCGTATCTGAGACAAATACGCGGCCGAGCGTTCACACGTTGATTCGCGGCTCCAGAAATACGGTATTTGCGAGCTGCGAGCTGCTTTAAACAATCAAGCGAACAATGCAAAATAAACAACTGAACAATGCAATGCGCACCAACTGCCGATAAAATACTCCACTCGCATTAAACTGTAATAAAAATTGAAAATTCATGATTTTACTGGCCCGAACAGGCCACTAGAAAAAAAAGTTAGTGTTGAGCCTAATATGAATTTGGAAATAAGGTTGTACATTTACGGACACAAGGTGTCAGTTATTCTAGCATTCACGAACAGTGCAGATCACATCACCTTATATAAAGCTTTCTTTACGCTGGTGACATGTCCCGGGTCATACCCCAGAATGCTAATGCGATGGGCACTGTAACCCCTTACCTAATTTCTATAGCTGTTCATATACTCTAACCCTTATATAATAATATTATACTATATATTGCCAAATAATTCCACGTTAATGCCTTCAAATACTATACATCAATACAGTGTTACCACACGCATGCCACTGTGATAAAAAAGATACAGCAATATTGCGAATTTGACAATGATGCTTTCCTACCTGCCCTTTGTTTGGTCATATGTCGTCGTGTGTGTGCAGTGAGTATGTATTGTAGAAGAGTGAACTTTACTGATCCTATTATAGACTGGGTTCAAGGCATTTGGGACAATGACTTCACAGAGTTTGAACCGTTGCCTCCTCTATATGAAGCTGCCGTGGAGGATATGTTATGGTCAGACCTCCTCACGGCTGCAACATCTACATGTAAGCAGTGGATACAGAATGGGAATGATGCTAACCAGAGAGGTAAGGAAGTGCGAAACAATGTCTGTAGGATAAGATTTTTTAAACCGAATATTACTTCCCTAGATGCAGGAATTAAGGACTGTTAATTGATAGTTAATAATGCATTGTTGATGCATAAATAAATGCCATTGGATGATATCAGCCTGTTTACAAGTGGAAGCTCATCTCCATGTAAAGACTTCTTAACATTTGATTTGCATTTGTCATGTGATAGTCACTAGTGACTACTTGAAAGAACCACTGCCAGAAGGAATTCTATGTGTTGATTCAACATTATTTTCATTGCAGGGTTCTGGTTGGTGATGAGTGACAATGACGTCTCCCTAAAGGGGCTTGTTGCTGTGCTCTTCTACCTCATAGAGAGAGGCCACCAGGAGATTGAGGACAGCGATGTTCGCTTTAATGCGAAGCTAAATGCTATAGAGGCAGCGGGGCTCTACTGCATGCTTGTGTCGATTCCAGGTATGGTCGTTGGCACGACTATAATGTTTTGCTAGATGCCACTATGTGTGTGGGGACTGTGGCACAGATCAGCTCGAGCGTTTCAGTGATGTGTTAACCATTGCAGACTCTGAGACTGGTTATGCTGCCAGGATTATATATATGCAACAACTCTGATTTGATACTGGGGTTTCATAAGTGTGAGACACAGCGAATTCGGCCACGTACATTGAGTTGTGCACATTTATTTTGTTGTGTTTTAAATGTCTTACAATTGTACTGATCAGTACATCAATGTACTGTACAGTAAGCATTTATGTACTTATAGTGATGGGTCGTTGTGCAACTTGCAATGTGCTGTACACTGTTTTCAGGTAGTGGAGCATTTAAGGTGTTTCATCCAATCCTGTATAGCAGAATACTCGATTTGACAAAAATCTACAGGCATCCTATCACGATAGGTAAGGACAGAGATGCCAACCACTACGATTTATCTGTATTTTATACGAATTTCTATTCTTTTTGCACCACTACGACCAGTTTGTATGAAACTACGAATTTCACTGTGATCGAAATTTTTGTTGTTGTCAATAATTGTCATTTTTTGTCAATTTATTGTCATTTTGACCCTCAGAATGCAGGAAATTGCATCTCAGAATCAAAAAATTTTCCGAGGGGGCATGCCGGACCCCCCTAGGAAAAATTCGGGTTACTACGTGACCCCCGAACTACTAATTTGATGGCCAGAAACTACAGATTGCTTCAAATATGTGTTGGCATCTCTGTTAGGAGTGACTCTTTCCGCTTCAGAGCAAGTTCATGATTTTGCTCAGTAGTGCACAGTTTTATGGCTGTAGTGTGTGTGCGGGTAAAATTGTCTTAGTCATCTTCCAGAGTAATGTTGATCCCCTGACTACACGTTTGTATTGTTTCAAGAATTGTGAAAGATCCTTGATTAAAAATTGAAATCATATTTCAGATTCACCGGTGAAAAAGCGAAAGCGTAATGCAGGGAAAAGGAATGCTAAGCCTAAGAGCAAGAGGAATGTGCCGACTGCCGCCGTGGTAGAAGAGGATGAGGAGGATGCGGATGCTGAGGAGATGGACATCGACGAGGACGACGAAGATGCTGCAAACACATCCTACCAGGAGGAGCCACTGAGCAGCGAGCAGACCAGCGCCCTCTGCCGAGAGCTGCTGCATCTTCTGCGCTGCCTCGTAGTGCTGCTCGAGTGTTATTCGCTGAAGGAATGCGACGAAAGCGTCGAGCAGACCATCCTGCAGGTGGCGCCACTCACCCGCATCGAAGCCGAGACGTTCCACGGCCGCTTTCGGATACCGGAAAACTTGGAGTCGGTGCGGAATCTTCCGCAGCTTGCCTACGTTGCGCTGATGACGATCATGACATCGATGCATGGTCAGCCAGATGACCTTGTTCGCAGGGTACGCACACACACATACGTACGGACGAACACACACGCACGCACGCACACACGAACACACACACATGTGCACATGTGCACATGCACACATGCACACACACACACACACGTATGTATACGGACACACATCTACACACGAACACACACACCTACATGCACACACACGCACACACATGAACACACACACACGTACACCATGTACACACATAGGCACGTACACACATAGGCACGTACACACACACACCCACATTCACATGAACACACTCTGTATGTACATACATGCACGCACATACACACGCACATGTATGTACACGAGTACACACACGTGTGCATGCACATGCACACATCAATGCATGCATGTAGGCCTTTTCCAGCCCAAATAGACCTTTTCATTGGAAGTTGGTTTTCTCTGTAGACTGTTGTTAGATGATATTTGTTAATGTGTGGTTTATGTGGCCTGACTTTTCAGGAACCATCAGACATTGGTGGTGAGCTGGCTGTTCAGAAAAATTCCAAAGTACACACTAAATGTTGCCAGCACACAAATCCGCCTGACCTAACCTAAAGAACTGATCAGATTTTGATAAGCAGGTTTGACTGCTTAGAAAACATAAGCGTTTGGCAAAGTTGAGCATGAAAATGTTTGTTGTGTCTCAAGAATATGTACATGTGTGAGTCCTTTTCAGTAGTAGAATAATAAGTCCCAATTATACAATTTAGAATGCTATTTGTGAAAGGTGCTAGTTTTATTGATGTTTACAGGTGTACAAGCACCTTATACCTGGCATTCTGATGTTGACTGGCACCAACAGCAGTGCAGTAACTACTCAGACCATACCAAAACAACTTTTGTCCATCCGAGATCAATGTACTGACTTTGTATGGTAAGTAAATATCCACTTGCACCATTTTCCAACAGCAAATGATACCAATACTCCATCTTAATAGTTACGACACACCTTATACCACCATGATGCAGTAGATATTGGGTGGGTGCAGGAAGGATAGAATCGCTGGGATTTCACACATTTTGGAAAGACAACTTGATGAGTGTACTGCACAGCAGGATGCTGCTGTTTCTTTCCACATCACATTCCATGCACAACGCCGTGTGCTGAGCTTCCAATAATGCTGATAGACTTGCTAATTGAACAGAAGAATCGTATTTTCTCGTGGCTATTCAGATGCGAGCGTTAATTTTGCATTGCGACACCACGACTGGTTGCGTACACACGTTAACCTTGGACGTATACCACAGGTTAATATATAGTTTAAACTCTGTGGAATGGACATGCCAGAACTAGATAATGTTGTGAGGAATGAATATCCCTTTAAAATATTTGTGAACTTATAACTTTTAATGTCAAGTTGGTGAATTTATAACTTTCAATTTGGGGAATGTTTTTCTGTGATTCTGTCAAAATGACGTCAGACTGTCAATGACTTTAAGTTTGAGAATTAATTAAAGTTCCATATCAGTAATTCCCTCAAATTCCAACTGATCAGGAAACGTCAGGCATGTAGGCATATCGCACGTCATATCAACCTATGTTGTACAGCCGAGATGAGGGTGTAGATGTAGAATAAGGTTGGCAGAGGTAGACTGATCATTACTGTGTAATCTCACTAATGCTCGTTACTTTCCACAGCTTCCTGATGAAGCGTGACGAGGCGGCGACGGTGGGAGGCACTCGCATCCTTCTGCAGCACATGTGCACGCGCGTGCCAGACAAAGCAGAGTACCGTGCCCGCGCCGCCCACGCCATCGTCGTCATCACCACACACCTGCCCCTGCGCGCCTACGCACAAGCTGTCAAGTGGCTGCAGGCGTTCTCCAGGAACGAGAAGGTGCGTGCGTGCAGTTGCCGCGACGACGCTAGCGCGTTGTTCGTGTTGCGGGGTGCCAGCTCAAAAGGGGATGCTTTAGTGGAATCTCAATTCTGCGGTGTTACTGATTCAGGTATCCTATGAGCCATAGCTGTGTTATTGTATACCTACGTTTTAACATTTACTGAGGGTGTAATAGTGGTCAGCGTGTATGTGAAAGATAGGCTCTGTTAGTACACCCTTAACATTTCGTTTCAGATTGGATTTCGTGTTTTTGCCATAGAAGTGGTACTTCTGTTACTCGGGGAGCCAGAGCGACAGCCTGATGGTGAGTGTGCTTGTACTAATACAGGGCGCGAAATTAGCACCGGCCTACCGGCATAAAATTATGCCGGCAAATTATTTGGAGGGCCGGTAACATTGGCAAAACACCGGCCCTCCAAGCTGGTGATTTTAGCCGTGCTAGCGAGTACCTACATTTTTAGCTCACCTTGACATCGTCAAGATGAGCTATTGCCATGGGTCGTCGTCCGTCGTACGTCCGTCCGTCCGTCCTTTCGTCAACATTTGGCTACGGTCAATGATAACTCAGGAACCGTTTGACCCACATGTTTGAAATTGGGTATAGTTGTTACTGCTATAGGAGAGGTTTTAACGTCCTATTTTGGCAATTTTTTGGCAAAAATGGAAATTGCCATTAGTCAGTTTAGGTTCAATGGATTTTGCTCATTTTTGGTATGTGAATGAATAAGGGCTGGCCCAAAAACGTATTACAGGGGTTTTGATATTTATAAAAAATTTATGCAAATTAGGTAGGTTTTAGCAATTTCACTATGTATATTTGATGGATATCACGCCATAATTTATCAACATAAAAATTACTGTTACCAGCGCTCTGGGCCGGTGCAAAAAAATCTGAATTTCGTGCCCTATAATAGATTTCACTCTTGATACAGTCCACTGGAGTGTTTGCACACATATTACCCAGTAGTATGGCTTCCTAACAAAGTAGTCGCGATTCGTAAATGTAGCACAAACTGTTACTATGTGATTATTGTCACCCGCTTTATGGCTTCTAACAACGTAGTCGCGATGTGTAGATGTAACACGAACTGTTGTCATGTGGTGGATGTCACCTGCTTTATGATTTCCTAACCAAGGAGTTAAATATAACAAGGAGAGGAAGCGCTGCCATATCTGGCCCAAATTTGGGTTTGGCAGAGACCCTAGAACAGATTAGTGTTCTATTGTCTCTGGGTTCGGTCTGCACAGCCGTTTTAGCTGATTATGCTCCATAGATGGCGCCCTTGAGGCGAAAAGCACACAGCCAATCTGCTTCCTCTCCTTGTTATATTTAGCTCCTTGTTCCTAACAAGGTAGTCGCGATGCGTAGATGCGTCGCAAACCGATGTCAAACGACAGATGTAACTTGCCGAGTGGCTTTGCGGCTTCTTTCAGACTCTGTCGGCGTCCAGCTGCTGCCGTATCTCGAGCACAAGCACCTTGTGCGCCTCATCCTCGGCCGCTGCTCTGACAAGGCCCCGACCGCGCGCGCCAAGGCGCTCGCCTCGTTCGCCGGCTGCGTCGACTCGACCGACCCGTTCGTGCGCAACGCCGTCAGGGACCTGTTCACTCCGCACCCGGGCCCGCGAGTCGGCGAGGCGCTCGAGAGGACACAAGGTTCGAGGCGCGCTGAGACGTGCGGAGACGCGGCTCGAGTCGCACCCCGCGGGATCGAGTCGCACCCCGCGGGATCGAGTGGGTCGTTTTCATGCGGATTTGCTGTTTTCCTGCAAAGTCCCGTACAGATTGTGACAAGACTTTACAGAATTAGAAGAAACTTTACCATAGAGTATATGTGCCTGTACAAGTACTTACGGCAAAAAATGGGAAGAATGATGTCAGTGCACGACTCATTTCATCTCGTTGCCCGTGTCCCATGCCACGAGAAGATGTAAGAACCATCTGTGCAGCACGAACGCGTCGACATTTTAGACACGTGTTTCTTTCAGAATGCGAGGTGGTGTTACATGACGTGCTGACGGAAAGCACGGCGGCGACTTCTCTGCAGCCTCCTGTAGGAGTAGTAGCAGCTACGCCAGCCTTAGGACTCGCACCGGCAGGCTCCACAGGGACCATCCCCTTGGTCACGCCACAGTGCATGACAAGCGTGAAAGTTATGGCTGGGCATGACATCAGTAAGTACATTCTTTCTCTTCGGTTCATACACGAAAGAGGATAGCCGCCTATCTTATGTATGGCTAATTATCCCAAAGTAATACAATACAGAATGAAATACTATATTGAGTGTATCCTAAATTGGCAAATATTTACCGTCACGGTGGTAATTGTCAATGCTACCATTTCTTTAAAAGTCTGCCGATGAAAATTCGACTCCTGTCAAGGTCCCACATGCCACAAATACGACAGCTGCGATCTAGTGCTGGCTCTAGCCTTCTAGTGTTGTTCGAAATTCTCGAATCTCGTGTGGCTCGTCTACGATGTATTGGTGATGGTGTGTGGTGGAATGATTCGGGGTAGTCGTGGGCATTAAGTCACAAAGGAGTGGGTGTTCTCAGTGTCTGTCTTCTCACACGTGTGACGATTGTTTGTTGTAGCGCTGTCCGATCATCAGGGTGTTGTGTCAATGCTGTGTCGCAGGACGGAGGATGAGAAGTCGGGCGTGCGCAAGGCTGCAATAATGGCTCTACAGAACGTTCTGCTGCTTGATGCTGGATTCTGCAACCAACAGGTAGTGTATAAATCTCTCTCTTTCTCTTTCCTGCTCTCTTTTGCTTGCTGTCTCTCTCTCTTTCTCTCTGTTTCTATCTTTCTCTTTCTCTCTCTCTATCCATCTCTCACTCCTCTCTTTCTCTTGCCCCCTTCCCCCTCTCTCACTATTTCTCTTCTTCTCATCTCTTTCTCACTTCTCGTTAGTGAATCTAGACAATCGTTCAGTTGGTTTCTCTCATTAACTTGACACGTAAGTGGCATGCATGACTGTCTCTATCACGGAAACGCGCCGCTGTCGGCTGAAATTCAGCAAACCAATGCACAGCCTTCCACCTTCTTATTACTGATGAGTCGCTCTGTTGCTGCTGTTGTTGGTGGCAGGTTCGGCATGGCACGCGCACGCATCAACGCTGTCTCCTGTTTTTTTGGCTCACCTTGACTTCGTCAAGATGGGCTATTGCCATGTGGTGTCGTCCGTCCGTCAACATTTGGCTATGGTCAACGATAACTTGAGAACCGTTTGACCCACATGTTTCAAATTGCATATAGTTGTTACTCCTATGGGAGAGAGTTGAACGTCCTATTTTGGATCACGCGCCCGTCAACCTACTTTCGAGCCATGTCCACTTTTTGGCAAAAATGGAAATGGCCTTAAGTCAGTTCAGGTTCAACGGATTTTGCTCATTTTTGGTATGTGAATGAATAAGGACTGGTCCCAAAACACATCACACGGGTTTTCTTTTCTTTTTTAAATTATGCAAATTAGGTCGATTTTGGCAATTTCACTATGCATTTCAGTGTCTGCCTACGGTCAACGATAACTCAAGAACCGTTTGACCCACATGTTTCAAATTGCATATATTACTTTTATTTCAAATTGCATACAGTTGTTACTCATATGGGAGAGATTTGAACGTCCTATTTTGGAGCATGCCAGTCGACCTACTTTCGAGCCACGCCCACTTTTTGGCAAAAATGGAAATGGCCATCTAGATTCATTCGATTTTGTTAAATTTTCCTACCTACTTGCCTACCTATTCATACCTACGTGTAATATTGTGGTTTAGATTCTTCGTTACAGTAATTTGACTGGAATATATTACTTTTATTTGCACGATAATCGAAAACCAAAATGGCGATCATTTAGGCGTAGCGTCATCTCTCGCCCAGATTTCAGACTTTCAGATCTGAAACATTTATTTTCGCATCAAAACTAATCCTGAAACAAAACAGTGAAATTTCTATTAGTATAAAACAGGGAATAAGGACATTTGGTCACATTTCGGTCCGTCATAAATGAAACACTTACCAAATTTTAAATATTATCTTCCTCTTCTATCACACCCAAGGTGAGCATTGACGCTCATTGACGCTTTCATTTATTATTGTTTTCTATTTGTATTCTCTTTTTTTGTAGAATTTGGCGGTGATTCACAAGCGCTGCCTGGATCCGGCGCTGTCCGTGCGCAAGCAAGCTCTCGTCACGCTCTCTGAGCTGCTAGTCAACGCGCCGCCGACCGACGTGCTGCAGAGGTGAGACACACGATGCCATCGTGGATCAAACGATGTTGTTGTGGGTGGCGCATTTCTCTGATGTTGAATTATTGGGTTATCGCCCCTGGATTACTTTGTGCTAATTTGATTGCACTATGATAGGCTGTGCGATTCTATATGTATATATATATATATATATTATCGCCCCTGGATTACTTTGTGCTAATTTGATTGCACTATGATAGGCTGTGCGATTCTATATGTATATATATATATATATACAAGTACAAGTACACATACAAGTATATGTATATATATATATCAAGATCTCTTGATATATATATATATATATACAGCACTTGAGTATATATATATATATATATATATATATATATATATGATAAGTGATGCATGAACTTTGTTTTATGGTATACGTACGCATGAATTCTCACGAGTGCACATATGCTAAAACATGAGTGGATACTATTGCATGCTAAAACATGTCCAGATACTATTGCATGCTAAAACATGTCCAGATGCTATTGGTTGATAACACATGCATGGATGCTACTGCATGCTAAAACATACACAGATACTATTGCATTCTATAACGTGTGCAGGTTTTACCACGTGCTAAAGCATGGACAGTTGCTATTGCATGATAAAACATGTCCAGATGCTATTGCATGCTAAAACATGTCCAGATGCTATTGCATGCTAAATTATGTCCAGATGCTATTGCATGCTAAATCATGTCCAGATGCTATTGCATGCTAAAACATGTCCAGATGCTATCACATCCTAAAACATGTCCAGATGCTATCACATGCTAAAACATGTCAAGATGCTATTGCTTGATAAAACATGCGTGGATGCTATTGCTTGATAAAACGTGTGTGGTTGCTATTGCATGCTAAATCATGTCCAGATGCTTACTGCATGCTAGAACGTGCTCGTTGCTGTAGGATGTGGTTGGATGGCGTGCTGCCGATGGTTATGGACAGAGAGAGCAGCATCGAGGAGAAGTGCATGGAGGTGATGGAGGAAGTGTTCCTCTCCAACATAGTGTCTCACGATCGCACCTGTACGCCCAGCCATAGACGCGCATGGAACATGCTCAACGCCATGGGAGGTACGTGCCTGCAGAAGTCTACTACCTCTCTTCAACGAAGTGTTAGCTGGTTATGCCCACAGGTTCAGCACATGCCATGCTGTATTCAATGTCTGTGTGGAGAGGAGAACCGAGAGGAATTTGCTTGTCAAAATCATGCTTTGTGATTAATTCTCAGCTTAGTTATTAGAAATTCCTTATTCAGTTATTGGAGTTTTATTGTTAGAGTCATTCGTTTTAAGCAGACACAGAAATGTGAAAACCAGTACAGCGTTTCATTTCTAACCAGTTGACGTGGTAGCTATGAAGTGGTGACATGGAGGGTTGACAGAGCGAGGCTAGTTCGCTCACCTTCACTGTTCTGTCACTGTACCGCAGCATTCTCGTGGCTAACGCTGCTCTGCATGATTACGTCAGGGTGCGAAATTAACGGGAGTCCGGAGTCAAATACTCCCTGATTTACTGTCGGACTCCCTGATTTGACATATGCAGGAGTCCGTGTGACTCCCTGGAAATTCTGCCATAATAACTAGTTTATTCCAGAGCACGGCCTCGCAGAATTACTGTATTTTTTCAGCTAATGTCCAAAGAAAATTTGACAGACGTGCAACCGCATGAATCTTAAAAATAAGCACATATTATTAGTTGTTGTTGTTATGTTGTTATTGTTAATATTTTTAATTTTGAACCTTAGACTGCAGACTTCCTCATTTTGCTGCGGACTCCTTCTTTTTGAGGGTAGGGAGTCCGCTGGACTCCCGTGTTCAAAGGTTAATTTCTACTCTTGTTACGTGGTAGGTGAACTCGGGCAGGAATTGAGGCGCTATCTGCAGAAATGCTGCCTGTTCTGGACAAAGCAAGGCAAGATCAAAGCTGCATTGCTAAATGCAATCAAGAGCCACGTGGGAACTGAGAACAACAAGGTCAGGGTGATACATGCTTTTAGCGATTGCACGAATGCTGTTTTATGTGAGATAATGAAATCATAGCAAGCTAGGGGTGATTATAACATGATAATGACATATTGTCCATAGTCGATCTGTTTCATGCGTTACCTAGCCACGTCTAGCTGCCGGTAAATATATGAAGATGGTATGAAAGCTCATCAGAATTGTTCAACAGGGCGCATGGACTCTCCTGGCTGAGTTAGCTCCAGTTGTCAGCAGTTTTGATGCTGACTTCGCCATATCTTACTGGCGGGACAACAGTCGGAAGGGTGAGTGATTTTAGGTGCAAATTTATCTGACTGGAAGGATCTAGACTAAATTCACAAGCTGCAGTAAGCCACCTGTTTAATAAGCATGGATAATCTGGAGCATGGATAAGCATGGATGGTTGGCTACCCACTTGCAATGTTGCATACTTTATTTTGATTCGTTACATTTCTTTTACAGTCTGTGTGCCTATCATTGATATAATACGTGTTGTTGTCTGCGTGTCTGTCATTGATATAACACGTGTTGTTGTCTGTGTGTCTGTCATTGATATAACACGTGTTGTTGTCTGTGTGTCTGTCATTGATATAACACGTGTTGTTGTCTGCGTGTCTGTCATTGATATAACACGTGTTGTTGTCTGTGTGTCTGTCATTGATATAACACGTGTTGTTGTCTGTGTGTATGTCATTGATATAACACGTGTTGTTCTCTGCGTGTCTGTCATTGATATAACACGTGTTGTTGTCTGTGTGTATGTCATTGATATAACACGTGTTGCTGTCTGTGTGCCTGTCATTGATATAACACGTGTTGTTGTCTGCGTGTCTGTCATTGATATAACACGTGTTGTTGTCTGTGTGTCTGTCATTGATATAACACGTGTTGTTGTCTGTGTGTCTGTCATTGATATAACACGTGTTGTTGTCTGTGTCTCAGCAGACGAGGATATCATCACGCTACAGAAGGTGCTCAAAGTGATCGCCAGCATGGCCGGCAAGCTGACAGCTGGCATGCAGCAGCAGCTGCTGGCGGAGCTGCATGCCAAGCTGGCAGCGTTCGACAGCCCGCCCGATCTCGTCTCGGAGATGATAGCTGCGCTCTATCGTGTAAGTTAGTGAACGCTGAGCGATCGAGTGGTGAAAGGATGATCGATAGCAACAGTGGCGAAGGGTTGGCTATTGCAATTAACGCACCCGATCGGAATGGTAGCGAATTGTTATGTCGAGCAGAAATGTGTGTAGCAGTCGGCGTTGGCCAACACGCCTACAATGCTCCCCTGTGCAGTTCAGTATCGCTTTCAAGCACGACTTCATTTTGCATAATTTCACCCTCACACAGTACAGTACTATAGACAGCGCTATCATTATCATTATTCGTTCGCTAGGTGCGCGGGGGAGGTATGCACGCTCACTGTGATGTAGAGGGCGCTGTAGACAGTACTATTATAGACGGCGCTGCTGCTGTCATGACAGATCGGCGAGGAGCAGGCGTGCTCACTGTGATGTAGAGGGTGCTGTTTACAGTACTACAGAGGGCGCTGTCGTTGTCGTTACAGATCTGCGAGGAGCAGGCGTGCTAACTGTGATGTAGAGGGTGCTGTATACAATACTATAGAGGGCGCTGTCATTGTCGTTACAGATTTGTGAGGTGCACGGCGAGGAGCGGGGGCGCGCGCTCACTGTGATGTAGAGGGCGCTGTAGGCAGTACTATAGATGGCGCTGTCGTTGTCATTACAGATTTGTGATGTAGAGGGCGCTGTAGGCAGTACTATAGATGGCGCTGTCGTTGTCGTTACAGATCTGTGAGGTGCACGGGGAGGAGCGGGGGCGCGCGCTCACGGAGCAGTGGTGCGTTGACCTGCTGCAGGCCTGCAACACGTACCTGTCGGAGGCGATTCTCAGCGAGAGCACGGCGGTGGTCGCGGGCGTCGACGAGGACCTCGTCATCGCGCACCTGTTCACGCTCGGCGAGGTCGCGCAGGCCATCCCCGCGCGCGTCCCGCGACGCCTCCTCACCATCGTCGAGAGCCTCATCGCCGCGCCGACGATCAGTGCGCCGCCGGGGGCGCCACCGTCGCAGGGGGACGCCGCGTCGTCCGAGGAGGAGGTGCCGCCGTCGCAAGACGCGTTCTCGCAGCTGTCACAGTTCCGCGGCGCGCGGATGGGCTCGCGCGTGCGCGCGCACGCGTTCATCACGCTCGGCAAGCTGTGCCTGCAGAACGAGGCGGCGGCGAAGCGGTGCGTCGCGGCGCTGGCGCGCGAGCTCGAGACGAGCGGCGACGCGGTCGTGCGCAACAACGTCGCGTTCGTGCTGTGCGACCTGTGCGTGCGCTACACGTCGGTCGGCGAGCGTCACATCGCGAGCGTCGCCGCGTGCCTGCGCGACACGTCGCCGCTCGTGCGCCGGCAGACGCTGACGCTCGTCACCTCACTGCTGCAGGAGGACTACGTCAAGTGGAAGGGCACGCTGTTCTTCCGCTACGTGACGACGACGGTCGACGCTGACGCCGACATCGCCTCGTTCGGTGGGTGTGTGCGCGCGGGGGGGAGGGGAGGGGTGTACTGTTGGTGGGGTTTTTCTCTTGTTGTCTCGCTTGTGCTTTGTCTGCTTCTCTCCGGCTGTCTCTCTGCCTGTGTCCTTGTCACTGTTCGTGTTTTTCCTTTTCTCTCTCTCTCTCCTTTTTCTCTCTCCCTTTCCCTGTCTCTCTCTCTCCCCCTCCCTCTGTCTCTCTCTATCTCCCTCTCTCTGTCTCACTCTCTCTACCTAAGTCTGTCTCGGTCTCTCCCTATACCTCTCCCTCTCTTTCACTCACTGACTCACTCATTCACTCCCTCATTTATCCCTCTTTTATTACTAATTTTCTAAATAATACTAAACTGGCAAAAAAAGAAGTCAAACACTGGTCTAAACAAGAAGTAAATCAGCTGCTAGGGTTGAAGTAAAGTTTGTATTTCCGGTTATGCGTAAGTTTATTTTGATGACACTGTTTGGTACTTGCAGCACAATTCTGCTTGGTGAATCTGCTGCTGCCCAGGAATCCACAGATGTTCTTCAACCACTTTATTGAGTGCATCTTTCATTTCAACTGCTACGAGAACCATGCGGCGTACAACAAGTTCACGCAGTCGGAACGCGAAAAGTCTCGCTTCTCTCTGAAGGGAACGGGAAATAAAAGGTACGGCCCAACGAAACCTCAACACGCCAGCAGCATTTTTACCTAAAATGTACTTACCATGTTTCAGTGAATACTGCTTCGTTAATGTAATACTCGTTTAAGGAGGAGCTGTTGTAAGGGAGCTGGGAAGTTGTGCTTCAAGATTTCTGGAGCATTTGCAGTTTTTATAAGTGTCAGTTTTCTAGGCCAAGCAAGCCTATTAAAGTCAGGTTCTGACTCCCAAATAAATGTTTCGCAGGTGTGTCTTGTGATATACGGTATTTTCATAAGTAAATGCATTATTTACTCCTGGTATTTTTGTGGAAGTTTGTGTGCAGTACACACGTGCAGATGTACCGTCCCATAACAAAACGTGTGTTATGAACGTGTGTACATGCTCCTACTGGAGCATGACAGATGAACAGCACTTCAAGCTGGTAGCAGAGCTGTTTATAGTGTCTTTACGTGTGTGCAGCATGCGCATGCAGGTATACAAGTTCTTACTCGAGCACATGACAGACGACCAACGCTTCAAGCTGGTAGCTAAGCTCACGCAGGAGGTGCTGGGAGCGATCGTTGACGGCACGATGGTACTGGACGCGCACGCCGTGCCCCTGCTGCAGGACTCCCTCGCCATCCTCTGCTGCAAGGTAAACGCACGCGCGTCCCAACCTGTAACGCGAGGAGAACGTGTCAAGTTGTGTGGAGCAGCCGTTTTAAAGGTCCGCTACATGTGTATATTGTAGCAGTGGCGCCCGCAGATAGAAGCACTGGAAGCACAGTGCTTCCAGTAAATTTTGGGTTAAACAATTTTGTTCCTACATTTTGTTCCTAAATCTCTCTCGCAAGACTCACCAGATTGCATCTCCAGACGTCTACCATTCAAAAATTTTCAGGGGGCATGCCCCCAGACCCCCCTGCCCCTAGCATGCAGCGCGCCTACGGCGCTTGCTTTTTATTATCACTGAGGATTTTATCCTTCTGTGCTTCTACTTTCTTAAGACCGGTGGGTGCCAGTGTATTGTAGCGCTGTAAAATAATGCCAAGTGAAAGTTAATAGGCGACAGAGTGAGTTATGCTTAAAGGCCATACGTACGTTCCGTGCGTTCAGTCACGACGTAGAAAAACCTCCCCTACAATATCAGGCCAGGTTAGCTGCGGACGGGGTGGGTCATTTCGGTCGTCAAATGATCGCAATTGCAGCTGATGTCAAAGAAAAATCTCGTCATTGTTGGACCTCTTCGGTGATGTCTTGTGCAGCACCATTGTCGTGTGAAACTTCATAATAGAAATATATTGCATATTATATATTTTACATGAGATCTGCCTGGATATGCACTTGGCCTGAACTGAAGTGTATGTCACGATGTAATAGCCGGGAATAAAGATGGCTAGAAGCAACGAAGTGTGCTAATTATAACAGGTGAACGTTCTCGTTATAACTCGTATTAACTGACGCCCCGTGAACTCCTGCAGGAGATTAAGTTGTCTCAGCTGCGAGGATCGCAGAGTTCAGCCGATGACATGCAGGGCGAGCAGGACTTTACCGCTGTTGCCATGGCGACGACAAAGAAGACGATCATCAGTCACGTGGTGAAGCGGAATGTCATTGAGAACATCGTCCCCGTTGTGATTGCTCTCAAACACATGGTACGTGCCATAGCACCGACCTGTAATAGAAAACTGGAGTGGTGCCACGGGATGCTTATACACTTCACTACCCCATGCATGTTTGACCAAAGTAGAAATTTTGCTGGAGAGCCGATACCATGCTACTGTTACTGAATTATTAACATACCGTAATTCGCATGTGAATTGCCAAATGTAACTTTGTGGTTTTTCCAGCAACCTATTTACCCATTACGTAGCATATTAGCATACAAATTTTAATGTTTTTTTTTTTAATTGTATTATGTGGGATTATCAGCACATTTATAAGATTTTCATGCTCCCTTATAGCTGTAAAAAAAACTAGTGTTGATCATCCTTTTGATTACAGCTAGAGCAGCAACGCTCGCCTGTGGTGAAGGACCTAATGATGTATCTTAAGGAACTTATGAAGGACTATAGGAGTGAAGTGAAAGGTGATTAACTTTCTGATTAATCTATTTGTTAATTTTCTAAATAGCAGCATGTGATTTTAATGCCTGTAGCAGCATTTAAAATGCAAAGTAGCAAGTGATGTAATTGTATGATGTGCAACGAGGTCTTCATTATTATTTCTTCTATTTACATCACTCGAACAGCATGTCAAACTAATTGTTATCGTGTCGTAATAATTGAACGAGGACACGCCAGCTGATGCGCTTTGCTCACGTCGTGGTTTTCGCACTCACAGACATCATGGCGGCTGACAAGCAGCTAGCAAATGAGATCGAGTTTGATCTTCGTAAGTTTGAGCAGGATCAGGAGGAGGAGAAGCGACAGCAGAGACGCCAATCATCCCATCTGTCCGGTGGCGCCCCCCCACTCGCCGTGAGTAGATAAAAATTACCAGGAGAGTGTGTTGCTGTGGGAGTCAAGTTATCGTTGCATCCTAGTAGTATGATCCTACCCATATTTAATCCAAGGCTATATATATAGGAGGCTACTGATGCAATGGGTATTGTGAGATAGTTTCAGTGGAGGATAATTTATGAGGTTGAGAGACGAGATAGTTAGGTAGGTGGATGCGTTGATCAGCTGTTTTATAAGAGCTGTGAGCAGGTTGATGGGTATGATGACCATCTGTTTCACAAGGGCTGAAGATGTTGATTGTAGGCAATGAGTGAGGCAATCGCTAGCGGGGATCATGCAGCTAATATAGAGCTGAAATATGGCATTAGAAGGTGCAAGAAAGTGCCTGAAGGTTGCTGAAGAGGCTTACTCGAGGAACGACGTGGTTGTACGAGTCCGTTAGCACGCAGCACACTAAAAGCATTCTATACGTGAGTCCGGCGGGCCGTTGCACCTGTGAGAGGCTTACGCGAGGAACGACGTGGTTACGCGAGTCTGTTAGCACGCAGCACACTATAAGCACTCGATACGTCCGGGCCATAATAAAAATGTTTGTTTGCCCTCATGCGGCCGACCCGCCAAAAAGGGGCCGGCTCAAAAAAATGTATTGATCTTTTTTTTTATAGAAATTGTATCACTGTACATTAAATAATTCTGTAGGCAATATATTATATGTTACCAAGCAAAACAAACATTTAACATAAAAGGTATCTCTACACAAGCACACCCGAGCATGTAGACACCATGCTGAATTTGTAAAAAGACCCCTGCCCTAAAAAAAAGCCAACCTACTTACCCAAACTTTTCAGCCTGGGTCGTGTGAGGGCAAACAAATATTTTTTTAATTGTGGCCCCGGCGGGCCGTTACACCTGTTGAGCATATATGTAACGTTGGCTGTGTTGCATTGTTGTGCAGGGTGGCCGTGCGCCGGGCACTCCGTCAGCTAGGGGTCCGTCGCGGCGAATGTCGCGTGCTGACCAGCGGTCTCCTGCGCAGAGGTCATCGCGGGGTGGCTCTCCCGCGGCCGCGCCGCTGGTCACGCATGGCGACGACAGTGCGGCGGCGGCAGCGGCGGCAGCGCATGACATGCGGGAGGCTCGCGTCGTGCTGCGTGACATCAACACACCTAGGTGAGTACCCGACGCTGATCGTTGATCATCCGGTGGTTGAAGTATCGTGTAAATGTGATAGACATGTCGTTGGATGACAAGTACAGTGGCTTGCCTGGTATGAAATTAACAGGGTTGCTTAGTTGGTTATCCCTCGTAGGCGCCTAGATGGCACATCAGGCCGTGACAAGAGATCTCCAACATCGTCGGTCCGCTGCTACTGGCCTCAGCGTGTCCCCTGACAGTTCACACATCCTTCTCGATGGTCTTTCTCCAGGTCTCCTTGGGTCTTCCCCTTCTTCTCCTCCCGTCTGGCGTCCAACAGGGTTGCTTCGTTGCAGTAAAAATTTAACAGTGCACCAGACGGCACGTGAGCGCTACAGCTGGTGCACCTATAATTTTTTAAGTGTGTGGTAATATGACTAATATCACTGAGAAGCAGTACTGTAGATAGACAAGTGAAAAAAAAATAAGTACAGAATCATAGAGTATGTGTAGCTCGTGTATACGTCTGTTATTATATGGCTTCTTTGTTGACTGTGTATAGCCTGCACATACTTGGTCCTTGATTATTTACTGTGATGGTTTTGCATTGTTAGTCTTGCCAAAAGGATTTTAGGTTCGGAAGGTAGGTACCTTTCCCTCTCATCTCGATGTCGTAAAACGTGCGCAGTATCATGGGTGGCATTATACGTTTTTTGAGCTATCGCTTGACGACTCTGGGCATTCGTAATTAGTTCATATTGTCAAAGTGAGACGGTCCAGGGGCCCGCTGTCAGAAACAAATAGTTTTTGAGCACCATAAGTCTAAAATGTAATAACTTTTGCTCGACACTACTTCAAAAGTTGATTGTTGAACTTGATGTTTCTGACAACGGACCCCGGGCTCTTCACAGGGTTCGTAGCGGGTCTTCCAAAGTTAACCAGTAGCTGATCTGATCTGACGCATTCTTTTACGTGTGTCTGACACTGACAGATCTAATGAGAAATGCAGCATTTACGTTGAGCAATCAATCCTTGTGTCCTGCCTGTGGGCTTGTTTTACGGACGCTCAGTTATAAAACCCGTTTATATTCGACACGTTTTTCACGGCGTAACTCCTTGTTCTCCATTATTGCTGTTTTCGTGCTGCAGTATTTCTTCAGCGCTGATGCACAGCTTGAGTGTAGCGTTAGAGCGTCTCAGCGAGTAGAGCAGTAGTGTGGCATTTGAATTGGTATTAGCATATGTGGGGTGTTAGGTACGTGTTAGACGCACGCATGCCGTAACAAGTTTACTTCTAGCATGTTGATTCCATCCACAATGCCGTGTGTTGCAGGAACCTAACGCAGGTTGCTCGAAAGGCGATAGATTCCGCACAGCGGTTCAGGGAGCAGCGAAGTACCCCTGGCAGACGCCAGAGCATCGCACCCGACCGGGGCGCGAGCGGCGACACACCTGACACCAGGGGGCGCCTCGCGTCCGTGCCGACGTCCGGCAACGAGTCGTTGCTGCCACCTCGCACCCCGCAGCGGCTGAGCGGGAAGGGCAGCAGAGCTATAAGCACGCCATCACGTAAGTCTGACTAGATGTGTGCACAAAATCTCCAGGGGCCCATCGTCAGAACGATCCACGAGTGGGAACAAAGGTCGTAATACACTCACAGAGTGAATAAAAAAACGTGTTTGTTATTCGTCTCACTTTTTTGGTATTCGTTAGTTTGTTTTTAGCTCATCTGACATAGTCAGATGCAGCTTGTAGAATCGCTTGATCGTCCGTCTGTCCGTCCGTCCGTCCGTC